GCCCCCACCACACGTGCACACTGCTGCACCTGTCTCCCCGCCCCACTGCACGTGTCCCCCGCCCCACCGCACGGGCACCCCGCCCCCACCACACGTGCACACTGCTGCACCTGTCTCCCCGCCCCAGGCTGCACGTGTCCCCGCCCCACCATACGTGCACCCCGCCCCACCTCACGGGGGTAGGTAAGTAAGCCAGCACAGCTGCTTGTAATTAATTCTTTTTCAGACAACCGGCTCCTAGGTTGTCTGAAAACCCTGCCCAGTCACACCCATCCTTCAGCTCCACCCCGGCCTTCTCAGGAGACAGAGGCAGGGGCAGACTTCACCTCTGTCGGGGAGGGAGGGGGAAGGAACACTGGCTGCAGCTGTCTGTTAGATTTACAACATCTGGAGATTCTCCACTCTCCTGCAGCTATTGTTTTACAAGCCCAAGTTTTGCATTAACCACATTCTGTCCCATATACACTTTTTGGGTTCCCACCTGAAACAACTTAACAAAATATATATCTTTAATGTATATATATATACACACTATGTATATAATGATATAAAACATATATAATTATCTTTCTAGATATTTGTTATAAATTTAATGTGTATACATCTAAATTCATATTGTGAACTAAAATAAAATCTTAAGGTTCCCACCCACCAGCTGACTGAATGGGCCCCCTCCTGGCCAAGGGGACATCCCAAAGCCAAATTGCCTGACAAGAGGAGGGAGGTCAGACAGGCCTCATCATGCCCCGCCCTCCCTTCTTGGAGGTGTCCTTTGTAACCTATTAACAGTCCTAAGGCTGTGTAAGACAACCCTGCAGGTCCTCAGTTTACACAACAAATATATGACCTGTGGCCTGTCTCTGATTAACAGACCTCCTATCTCAAAACATCCCAAGCCAGCATGGTAATCCTAGCACTGCGGGAGGCTGAGGCCAGCGGATCATTTGAGCTCAGGAGTTCAGACCAGCCTGAGCAAGAGCGAGACCCTGTCTCTACTAAAAAAAAATAGAAAGAAATCGGCTGGACAACTAAAAATATAGAAAAAAATTATCCGGGTATGGTGGTGCATGCCTCAGCTACTTGGGAGGCTGAGGCAGGAGGATCGCTTGAGCCCAGGAGATTGAGGTTGCTGTGAACTAGGCTGATGCCACAGCACTCTAGCCCAGGCAACAGAGTGAGACTCTGTCTCAAAAAACAAACAAAAAACATCCCAAGCCTTTAGACAAAGCTTCATGTAATCCAGCCACAGCCAGTCCACTTGCTCAAGGATTCTTGATCGTGGTTGTGGCTTATGGTCCTCAAATTCGGCTCAGAATAAATCTCTTTAAAATTATTTTACAGAGTGTGGCTTCTTTTCCATTGACAAGGCATATACATTCAAATACATGTAGATATTTATATCCATTTAATGTATATACATGTAAATTTAACAAATTTTACATTTAATATATATTTTAATAATTGCATAATTGTTTGAAATTTATAGATATTTAGATAGAAGCAGACACACAAAACTTTTAATGGTGATTATACCTAATAAGTGATATTGAGGCTAATAGAAGCCATTTTCTATTTATAAAATATGTACACCATATGCATTCCATATGTACAAGTATGCATTTGTATTTGAAATTTTTTTGCAGTGACATTCTATTACTTTTCATTGTTTCAAAGATACCATTCATATTCTCTAGAAAGCCAGGCTAGCTGCCAATATAAAAGGTTAATACTGGCCCTTTTTAAATGCCATGGTGTTCACACTAGCAAAGCAAAAGTAACGTGTGACTAAAGAAACAGTCATTCAGCTAAGAAAATTCCGGGAAAAGAAGAGTTATCGAAACCAAATTGTGCAAATGCCAACTCTTGCTCCTGTGTTGGAGCTAACTAAGGTGTCCTCAGTGTAGCCTCCTTATGCCAGCATAAAAGGAGGAGGTCACAACAAATATTTAAAAAATCAGGAAATGACCCAGCTCACTGTGGCACGGTGCAGAAAGAAAAAAATGTTTTATGTCAGGATGAAACGAAGCTGAACTATTTCCGCAAAGTACTTACTATCTTACAATGAAGCAAAATGTGAAATCAAGCTGAGTGCCCTAACCTGAGGGAAACGTTAGGTGTCTGACTCACTCCCTAACCATGTCACCTTAATTCGTGTGGGAAGTTCCTCTATAAAAGTGTTTTGTTGTTTTTTTCCTTTCTTTTTAATCCCTTAAGCTATTTTTTATTTGTATGTTTGCTTGGAGGGGCGAGGCCAGGGACTCTGAAAGGTGCAAGAAGTTTCTCTCTAACCAAGAGGAAGTTCTCACCTTGATCTTACACCTTTCCCCGAGGCTGAACTGCGAGTGTCCCGGCAATGTGTACAACTAACGTCACAGCTCTCGACCAGGAAAAGAACTGAGCGGCAACACAAAGAGTCAGAGAACAGTCTTAATTCCTCCCCAGCAGGCTCAGCACACCTAGTGTTGCAGCTCTCTACGAATCTTCCAATATTCTGACCCTTCTGTCCCCTTTCCTTGTTCTCCTCTGCTTTTATACCCTTGGTAGGGCTCAAAAAGCGTCCAATCAATTACAAACTTTAACAGCCAATCAACATCAAGCTTTAACATCCAATCAAAAACAGTGGGATTCAAAAACTACCCAATCAGGATCATGCAAGCAGCGAGGCCAGAGGCATGTGGGCCTGGGGGCATTCCGGCTTGCAGGGGCCCCAGGTGGCTCTCTGCCTTGGCCGGCCCCAGCGCTGGCCTGAGAGATGCGGAGCAACAGGGAGGCGGCAATTGTCAGTGTCCCAGCCCCCCACATTTTCCAGATCAGAGAGCCAAGGCTGTTGAGCACTCGAAAAGCGGCTAGGACAAATGAAGACGTAAGATACCGACCAGATTTTGAGGACTTTGAAAGACTGGCTGTAAAATAGCTCAATATTTTTATTTTTATTATTTTCTTTTTTTTGCAATTTTTTTTTTTTTGAGACAGAGTCTCATCCTGTTGCCAGGCTAGAGCCGGTGTCGTGGCGTCAGCTAGCGCACAGCAACGCTCAAAACTCCTGGGCTCAAGCGATCTGCTGCCTCAGCCCTCCGAGTAGCTGGGACCTACAGGCATGCGCCACCATGCCGCAGCTTAATTTTTCCTATATAATGTTTTGCCATTAATTTCTTTCTAATTTACTAGTAGAGACGGGGTCTGCCGCTCCTTGGCTCAGGCTGGTTTTCAACTCCCTGACCTGGAGCAACTCCACCGCCGCCTCGGCCCCCCGCGCCCCGCCCCCACCAACGCCCTCACCAGAGTGCTAGGATGACAGGCGTAAAGCCAAGCCCTCCGGCGGTGAATAGCTCAGTAACTTTTTATGTCGATTATGATATCGGCCAGTAATTTTTGATATTATTGACTTAAAATATAAGCCACCAAACCGTAATTTCACGGTGTTCCTTCTACATTTTCTTTAAATGTCGGCTACTGGGGAAAATTTAAAACGATGCGTCTGCTTGCGTGGCACGATTTCTGCCGTGCAGGCCGGCAACTGGAGGGGGCGGTGGGCCTTGGCCGGGCCTCCCCCCTCCGGCCTGATCTGTCTTCCCACCAGGGCCAGACGCAGAGCCCTCGTGCAGGCGTTCGGCCGCCCCTGCCAGCCCGGCCATCTCGGGTGAGAGCGCTCCGCGGAGACTAACTGAGTCCACAGCCCGCCCGGACACTCGTGGTCGGACGCTCCGGGCCTGCGGGAGGCCCCGAGACCGGCTGGAGAACGCGGCCCACCCGCTTCCAGCCCTTGCCTGGCCTGCGGGGCCCCTGGGGGAGGGGCACGCGGACGGGGGAGGGCAGGTCGTGCCCAGCAGCTGGGGGAGGGGTAGGGGACGGGGTGCATTCCCAAGGATATGACGCCTGTCACCGCGTCAGTATCGCCCCTGACCCCCTGAGGAGGAGAAGAGGCAGGGGGTTGTGCGGGTGACCCGGACAAACGTCGGGCCAAGGGCTGCAGCCCCTGCTCCATCGCGGCGTACCTCTGCGGGCTTTTGGTCGCCGACCCTGCCCTTCGCCGCGCCTCGTGGCTGGGGGGCGGAGGGATCGATGGGGGGCGGCGGAGCATGTGCCAGCAGGGTAGCCTGCGAGCGGGGCGGGCACCTGCGGTGTGGGCAGGGGAGGGCGTGCGGTGTGCCCGTCGTGCGGCGGGCCCAGCGTGCACCGTGGGCCGGGGGTGGGTGCACGGCGCGGGACGGGGAAGACACGTGCGGCCGGTGTGCCCGTCGCGGTGGGGTGGGTGCACGTGGGGTGGGGTGCACGTTGGCGGGGCTGCACTGTTGCGGGGTGCACGTGTGGCGGGGTGCAATGTGTGGTCCGGGGTGCCATGTGTGTGCGGCGGGTGGCACCGTTGGTGGGCGGGGTCACGTGTGGTGGGGGCGGGGTGCACGTGCAGCGTGGGGCGGGAGACACGGCGGAGTGGATGGTGGGGTGGGGTGGTGTGAGGGGTGGGGGTGGCACGTGCCGGCGGGAACCGTGCGGCGTGTGCGTGCGGCATGGGGAGTGGTTGAACGTGTGCGGGGTGGGATGGGGGACACGTGCAGTGGGGGTGGGGAGACACGTGTGGTGGGGCGGGGTGCACGTGCAGTGGGGGCGGGGTGGGGAGACACGTGCGGCGGGGCGAGGTGCACGTGCGGGGGGAGCCGCCGAGCAGGGCGGGACCAGAGTCCGCAAACGCGCGGGGAAGTCCCCGGGAGCCGCGGTGGCCCCACTCTCAGCCCCCAGCCGGGCAGCGGCTGCCGGCGACACCAGATGGCACAGCCGCGAGCGACGGGGTGCGGGCTCCGCGGGGCTGAGGTGCCCCAGCGACGTCCCGTGGACGCTCCTGCCCCGCAGAGCCCGGCCCTTGGATGAGTAGGACGTGCAGGCCCTGAGCTGCTGCTTGGAAACGCAGCTGGTTTCCTCACGCCCCAAGGACCTCTCAAGTCCCAGAGTGCGCGCCCCGTCCCCATGCGCCCGGCTCACGTCCCTGAACCTCTCTTGCACAGATGCCCCTCCTGGACTGCCAGCTCCTTACCTGCCACCGGGCGCGGCGCCTGGCCCACCTGGTCCTCAGCTGCATCGCCATGGGGTATGTCTGGCAGGACGGGGACACGCGGCCTGAGCAGGTGAGGGACAAAGACGTGCCCGTCCCCTGTTCTGGGGCGGGTCTGCTGCACCCGGGACTGTGCTCTTTGCTGGGCACTGCAGTTTTCCTGGAAAATGGGGACTTTCTTGCTCTTTTCTCTTGTTTTCTTTTCGAGACAAGGTCTCGCTCTGTTGCCCAGGCTAGAGTGAGTGCCGTGGCGTCAGCCTCGCTCACAGCAACCTCAATCTCCTGGGCTCAAGCGATCCTCCTGCCTCAGCCTCCCGAGTAGCTGGGACTACAGGCATGCGCCACCACGCCCGGCTCATTTTTCCTATATATATTAGTTAGCCAGTTAATTTCTTTCTATTTATAGTAGAGACGGGGTCTCGCTCTTGCTCAGGCTGGTTTTGAACTCCTGACCTCGAGCAATCTGCCCGCCTCGGCCTCCCAAAGAGCCAGGATGACAGGCGTGAGCCGCCACGCCTGGCCTTTCTTGGTCTTTTCAATGGGCATCCGTGGAAGGAAGGGTGGAAGGCCCATTCACATGATTTTTTTTCCCCCTAAGCAGCTAATTTTCCTTTAAACTGATAGTTGTGGCTCCCTTTAATTAATATCTGAATTCTGGATCTATTTTTCTCTGACACCCTCTTCCAAGAATGTTTGAAGAGCTGAATTTGAAGGCAGATTCTGAGAGTTCATTTAAAAAAAAAAACCGTAAAGCATTTTAAACTAGCATACATATCAGTTATCTTGGTTGCTTTTCACAATCTGCCAAGTAAACAGGGCCACACTATACCCAGACCACCAAGGAGCAAAGTCGAGTGTCCTGCCCACGGTGAAATAGCTCATTAGTGGAAAAGCCGAGACCAGAGCCCAGATCTTCTGATTTCGCTAACGCAGCCTTCTTTCCCCAGAGGGACACAAGGAGATTTACAACACTAATCTTTATCTTTTAATACTGCTTTCTCTCTAGCTAATTATTAGTCTGTTGCCTAATTATGCATCTAAATCTCTTCTGAACCTTTCGCATAACTTTCAAGTTTGAACCCCAACCTTGGGAGGTGAAATCTGCACGTTCCACTCCCTATACTGTTTTAAGTTACTGTTCCTTTTTTTATAAGTGCACTTTCCCCGGAAATCGGGCAGTCACCCTCGCCCTAGAGCGCCGCCGCCGTTAAGGGCAGCAGCTCAAGCCCACGGCGCTGCCTGACGGGTTCTACCTGTTCTCTTGCAGGTGAACACGAGGCCAAGGGAGAAGGAAAGTGTGGGGCTGCCGCAGACTTTTGTATGTCAGGACGTCTCGTGTTAAGCATTTGTGTGTCTGATGGTAGAAAGTTTGACATGTAGGCACAACCCAGTGGGTTCCCCCCTGCCATCTGCTCCCCAGACCGTTATCCCAGACCAGCAGTAGGGTGGGGGAAGGACGTCTCCAGCTCCCAGTGTGTCCGTGTAGTTCCCGGCCACTGGTGAGGTGAGGCTCCTCGTTGGCGCTGCTACTGCTGCAGCAATGTGTACGGCTAGCGTTACAGCTCTGGGGAAAGAACCCCCAATGAAGAATCAGAGAACAACCTTTTGTTCTTCCACAGCAGGCTCAGCACACCTAGTGTTACAGCTGTCTTCCCGTCTTCCGATATTCTGACCTTTCTGTCCCATTCTCCTCCTGCTTTTATACCCTTGGCAGGGCTCAAAAAGCGTCCAGTCAGCTATAAGCTTTAACATCCAATCAGCAACAAGCTTTCACATCCAATCAAAAACAGTGGGATCCAAAAATTACCCAATCAGGATCACGCAAGCAGCTTGGCTGGAAACTGGCAGCGGCAAGTGGGCCTGGAGGCATTCAGGTTCGCGGTCCTGCGGCTCTCTGCGCTGGGGCCCTGGCCCCAGCAGCGCGCCCTCCAGCTGGCCCCGCGCAGCCCTGGCCCGCAGAGATGCGGAGCGACGGGGAGGTGGCAAGCGGCCTCGTCCTGGCACCCGACCCCCCCCCACCTCCCACCATCCGTGACTCTCTGTTCCTCCTTTGACTTTTCAGCTAAGTGAGTGCCTCGCCTCGCCACTGCCTTCTGCAGAAAGTGGATCTTAGGTTCACATTTCTAAATTCTTCGAGGCTCTTTATGATTTTCTATTTAAGAAATAATTCTATCTCAAATTGGTCTAAAAATCTAAGGGAGAACAAAGGTGGAAACAGAGTGTCTTTAATAGAGCCTTCTGTCGTAAGGGGAGGTGGACACAGATGGAAAATGGGAGCATAGGCATGCCCTGCGTTTTTCTTTTGAATCTAGGCTAGTGTAACCTTTAGCACGGATAGAAACCCCCATGGCCCGGGTAGCTTTTCTGGATGTACAGCAGACAAAGCTCTGTAGAGTGCTCCTCAGGTAAAAGGGGGTGAATGAGGTCTCTCTTGAGGTGGCTTACTGGACAGTGAGGGACAGAGTCAGTTTCCACGCAGGCTGAGGTGGTCTGTCCTCATTCCTGTAGGGCTCCCTGGTCCCCCGATTCTCGCGCGTCCCTGCGTCTGTCTGTGTATCTCTAGCCAGCGAGCTAGAGAGAGATTTCCCCCACTGCTAATCTCCTCAGTCCTTTGCACGTTTTGGTGGTGCCCTTCTTTGCCCGGGCAGCTCTCAGAGGTTATTTTATGGTCTCTGTGTGTGTGTGTGGCCCAATTGGCAGTTCCCACATGTATCACACTGTGTGCTGGTAAACACTGTTTCCACTGGGCTGTTGACAGAAAGGTGTGTGTGTGTGTGTGTGTGTGTGTGTGTGTGTGTGTGAGGGAGGTGTACAGGTACGGGTCACTCGGGCAATTCCAGTTGGTCTCCAGGTCATTTCTCTGCCACAGGACTGACGGAATGAAAGACCACCGCGGCCGTTTGCTCAGGCACATTCTTTCTGGGATATGCTGACTGTCTGGATTTATATCTGAAAGGTTCTGCCGAGAAATCTTGCCCTTCCTCTTGTGGAAGTCTCCAGGAACTTGGGGCTCCCTCCTATCCTGGTCCACGCAGACTTGGTGCTGACGAACTGGACCAAAAGGGACCCAGCAGGGTAAGGAAGGGAGAGGGTGCTTTGACTCTTTAACGGCTGGCACTCGGTAGCAGGCCGTCTGACCAGGGCAACTCTTCCCACAGCAAGCCCAGGCCTTTTCAGCTATTTGATGTTTGGGGATGTTCGTGTTTATTGTCTGCTTTCGTAATGCCAAAGAAGGGGTGAGCTTGAAGACAAGTTGGGAAATCACAGGCCCCAGATGTTTCCTCCCAACACACTCTGAACACATTGGCCCAGACCATGTTTCTTGTTTGCTTCTGAGTTTCTCACTCAGTGTGACCTTTGAGCTCCTGCACCCTCAGACTACATTTGTTCTTCTCCACTAGTCGTTTGTTCCCTGACATGCCTCCCAGTGAAGTCAAGGGAGAACCTGGAGCTTCAGCAAGTGGTTGTTACAGAGTGATTATGAATGAGTGATTATGGGCGAATGAAGAGCAAGTGCTCTAGGTGCACTGGCTTGAAATTTGGGTTAATAAAGCCATCATTCCGCTGAGCTCACATCCATCTTCTGTCAGTTGGGCTGAGAATAGGGGCATTTGTTTATAGAAGAAACAGCACGGGTTTTGTTTTTGCTTCCAATCGTCTCCTGCACAACATGTGAGTTTTTAACAGCTAAGAAATCTGGTAAACAGAATTAGGTGGAAGAGAGGAAATGTTAAATTTCCGTTTGAACTTTACCATCACAGCCAAGTTTATTTGAGGCTGTAGATGGAAGAGATAGCGCTTTCTTTGTGACTGGATGAGGGGACATCGAGGCTAGATCTTAGGAAGAACGTCCTTAGCATAAAGGTCGTGGGAAGCCTCGGGGTTGCCAGAGGAGATGATGGGGAATCTGTTTTAAAGGAATAAACATTTTAATAGTGAGCTTAGACTTTCGGACTAATTTATGTGCCCCTTGGAAGAAATGAGATTGGGCCACCTCATCTCTCTACACATTTCTGAGCCCTGGGAACTCATGCTTTCTATAATTATTAATTGTGATCTTTGACCAGTTCTGCTTTAATGACAAAATAGGCTGAATCTGGCTTAGAATTCGGATGAAAAAATAAATGGTAAATGCATGTGCATGAGTCTGGTCAAGTTGGAGTTACGATTCGAAGAGAAGAAAGGAAGATGGAGGGGGAAATAGCCGTCCTGGGAGGGTAACGTCGAAAATGCCACGACAAAAGCTGGTGCCCTAGGAGGTGAGGGTGCAGGCGAGTGCAGCCCCAGAGACGCAGACACACTCCCGGGTCTCACCAGATGTTCTTGGTAATTATCCTTTGCAATCTCTTATGAATGCTATGCCCAGCACAGAGCTAAGTGCTACGAAGAAATGAAAGAAATAGAAGCAAAGCCCCGTCCAAATGGGCAGATAACAAGACAAAGCAGTGTGCAAATGTCAGAGTGACTCAAACAATATGCCCTTTAGGATTTCGGAGAAATAACAAGCACAGGCTTTGCAAATCAGCGAAAGCCTTGGTGAGGGGGCAGAACTCGATCTAAGGCAAGACCTAAGAGATAAATGGGCGTAAAATAACTAGAACCAAAATGAGGGCTGTGGGAATTACGAAAACATAAGGGGAGTGAAATAGTTAATCTAATGGCCACAGGTCAGATATTCTGGGGCCGATATGTCAGCTGAGACTTGACTCAGTTCTTATCATACAGTGGCCCTAGTCTAGGCACAGCCGGTGGCACTCAGAGTACATGGGGATTTTGTGTGTCTGCGTGTGCATCGCACATGAGTGTGCAAGCCTGTGTCCATGTGACCCTAGAAGGCATATCTGGTTTACAAATTGATTGTTCCTTTATTTTCTTTTTCTCTTGGCGATTTCCAATAACTGAAATTGGACCAGACCCCTGGAAATCAGGTAAGTTCTCAGAAATCTTTTGCTCACTTTAGAATCCATGCTAACTTTAGAAAGTTTACAATAAAACAAAAAGAAAAGCATACCAGATTGTATACAGTATGATATTCAATAAATGAAATGCATGAAAAAATACTAGAAGAAAATGTGCCCGAAATGAACAGTCCGAAAGTTAACAGTGGTTGCCTCTGCCTCGCAGGGCATAGGGGATTAATTTTCTTTACTGTATTTTCCAATTTGTGCATAATAATACAAATAAAATGCAATACAAGAAAATAAAACTTAATCAAACTTCTGTGACTCTTTGAAGTCTAGTGGTCGGAAAAGATTCCTCATTTCGCTGTAACTTCTACGAAAGGCCAGCGTGCAGGCAGTGGTAACTGCAGGTACAGAAGAATCTCTTTGAGATATCTGTGATTACCCGGGCTGGGGCTCACGGGCAGAGCTGGGCCAGATGTCTCCTTAGGCTCCACTTCCCGAGGAGAGAAAAAGTAGCCCTGGAGATGACATCACCTCTCCCATAAGCAAACCCATCAAATAAAGGGGTCCGGGAGAAAAGCTATAGCTCAGAGAGGGGGCCGTGGAAGATAGAGACATCACTTCCCAAGCTGATGCACCTGCTGGAACCAGAGAAATCCCGACTTGTGTTTGTTTTATTTGGTTTTGGTGTTTGGTTGTTTTTCATCTTTTCTCATGCTTAAAATGTTAAAGGCAAAAGTGATCTACGGAGTTGAGTTTTGAGGTTTTGTAGACTGGCTCTGCAAAACGACAGCAAGTCATTTAAAAATGATGTCTCTGTGACAGCCTTGCAGTTCCCACTCTATTCCACAGCCTGTGGTTAAATATATATATGTATCACAGATCAGAAAGAGCTCTAGCCTGCGTTATTAAACTATTCCCAACCTGGTCCAGCTACGTGACTTCGGGCAAGCTGCTTTGCTTTTCTGGGCCGTAGCTTCATACCCGTAAGAAGGGAGCATGGACTTGGCTGTTGCCTGGGGTCGATCTGGCTCTAAGACAGTGGCTTTCGTGATGGCCATAGAACCGGCCCTGCAGCCCTGTGAAGAATCGGGTAAAAACTGCCCGCCCCTGTTTCTGCTGGTCCACTGGGGGATGAGCTAGGACCGTCAGGGCCGTCAGTGCTAGACTTAGAGCACCCTCTAGTCGGGTGAAGATGAGCTTGCACCGGTCTATTCTCTTTCCTGCCTGGACGTTGCTGAAGGCAGACGCTATGCTCCGGGCTGTCTGATGGAGGGGAGACCGTGCTCAGGGCTGGGCCGGCCGGCAGCCATCTGACGGGCGAGGGGGCCACCTGCAGGCAGTGTGTGCTCACCGCGGGTCCACACACCTCTCACGCTGCGACCCTCTCCTTCCCAAGGAACTTGGAGATCATCGTCTCGTTTCCCGGGGGAGAGAGCCTGCGTGGTTTTGTACTGGTGACTGCCCTGGTGGAGAAAGCCGCAGTGCCTGGGATCAAGGTATCCGCTCACTGCACGGCGCTGTAGCCTCCCGAGTGAGAAATCAGTCTGCGCTCTGCTCCGCCCCCAGCCCCTGTCCCTGCGGTAGGTTTCTCAGTGCAGAGGGACACAGACCTCGTCCTACTTAGCTCAAGTCTGAGAGAGGAGTTCTAGGTTCTGGCCCGCAGTGTTGGCTCCTTTTTCTCAATTCCTGTAAAACTCGAATCCACTGTTGGTCCCTCCTACACGCAGGATTGATTGTTCTAGGCAATGGGAAACCACCGTGGGCAGGCAGACACTGTCTCAGCCGCTCCAGCGCCCACCTGGGGGAGCCTCCTTCAAATAGCCAGTGGAGGAAAATGGATTAGAATAGGGCAATAGCGGGAAAAGTGTGCGGTTTCACGAAAAGACAGCCAAAACCTAATCCAGACTTGAAGGGTCAGGCAAAGCTTCCCTAGAGAAATGACCTGAAAACAAGAGTGACGTATAGAAAGAGAGAGAGAGGGAAAGGGAGGTTGGTTGGTTGGTTGTTATTAGAGAGAGACAGACAGACAGACAGACTGACAGAGAGGGAGGAAGGGAGGGAGGTTGGTTGGTTGGTTGGTTGGTATTATTCCTGGCAGAGAAAACTTCTATGAAAAGGCTCAAAGGAAAAATAAATGAAAAATATTTAGAGCTGGGAGGCATTGTTCAGATGATCTAGCCCAGGGGTTGTAAACTTGAATTTCTGCAGGGATCAGACAGGTGCCAGAAAGGCAGATACAGGACAGAAGACAGCGTAATCAGGCCGAGTGTTTGTGCCTTGCCTCAGGACATTTAAGGCAGATTTATGCCTTCCCTCCCCACCTTCACCAGTGGGCAAATGTGGAGTGCCTGCTATGTCCTGACATCATTGTTCCAGCACCTTCTTTCACTCTCAGAAGCGAAACTCCAGGGTCACTTTCATTCTCGCTCACGCGTCTAGTCGCTGGAAGGCACAGGTTCAAACGCTGGCCTTCCACGTGCAGAGACCCCCCTGGGACAAGGGCGGCTTGGTGGCAGAGGGGCCCTGACCTCAGGAGCACAGGCTTCGGAGCGAGGTTGCCCTGGTTGGAGATGCAGAAGTAGAAGTGATCATAATGTGTGATAAATCAGGGAGAGGAAACCAGGAAAATAATAAGAGTTCAGAGAGGTGCCAGAAGTAGCAGCCAGTGGAAAGTGTAGAAAATCCTAGGGCTAGCTAGGCTGCCCTCAGGGGGACCCAGGGTGGGCAGTCAGGGGGTGCCCTCCCCAGCTCGCTCCACCCTGTGTGCTTTGATGCAGCTAATGAACTGAATGCGGAATCTCGTCCGCAGGCCCTTGTCCAGGCCACGCATGCCGTCTTGCAGCCCAGCCAGGATGCCCTGCTCCAGGCCCTGCAGCAGCTGAGACTCTCCATTCAGGCCATCACCAGAACCTTGGGACAAATGCACGGTAGGATGCCCCTGCAGGACCCCGGAGGGAGGGCTGTGCCCGGCTGCACAGGCGATGACACGTTTGCCCACCAGATGGCGCCGGTGCACCGTCCTGGTTTTGAGGCACTTGCCCTGCACCTGCTCAGGGAACCATTGCTCCTTGGCAGAGCTGTTGTGCTGGTTTTGTCCTTTGTGTTCTGTGGTTCTGTGGCCAGGTATTTCTGTGGCATCTTGTGGTCCTGCCTGAAGCTTAGAAGGCGGCCTGGGGTGCACAGTAACATTGGTGGTGTGTGCTCCGCCCAGCAAAGTTAGGCAGCTGCAGGGCAGACTCAAGACGATGCAGTTTGTCTTTACGCACTGATGCCCCGTTTTTCCTTCTCCCTCCCCCTGAGATGACTGCCTGTGGCCTTAGGCCTGATCTACTGGATGGCCTGTGCTGCTTTTCTGTGGCCAGTGCAAGCATGAAGTGTCATGGATGAGAAAGTTGTCACAATCAAAATGGAGTCACTTCACAAAACCAAACTGAACCAAAAAAGAAAAAAAAAAAAATGGAGTCACTTGTGTTTAAAAAAAAAGAAAAGAAAGGAAGAAAAAGACCTGACAAATAAAAAATAAAGCCAGGGAAGGCAATGAAGAGAGGATTCTCATGCCCGATAATAAAAACTATCAGAAAAGACTCTGCAAAAACCACAACCTCGTACAAAAGCCACCAAAACCTTACACACACACACACACACACAAATGCTTTTGCAAGGACGTCTGCCTGGCAACTGCCTGTCCAAGCTCGGATTGGCATCGCCTTTGTTATTGTTCCTTGTAGCCAAGGATAATTATCTTAACAAATGATGTCATCCTTCTCATTTTTCCTTTGAAAACCTTTGTCTTCCTTTACCTCCCCAGATGCACACATAGTTTACCATGCAGGCGTAGTCCCATTGCAGTGCCCTGCTCTGGAATAAATACCATTTGCTTTCAGAGAGCCCGTCTCTGTTTGGTATTGAGGTTGGCACGGGTGTGGCCAGTGGGGAGGCTCGTGCTCCCTGGATGGTTATATCTGACCCTGGTCACTGTGCTCGGTCTCCAGCATCTGGGAGGCTCAACCTCCACGTCAGAGGAATCTGGAAAATGTAGCTGGTGTGTGTTTAAGGAGGGCGTGGGGAGAGGGGTGTGATCTGTGAACAGGAGACAAGCAGAATGTCTAGTACCATTTCCCCGAATCCTGCTTCCCTGAAAGAAAGAGCGAGATTTCGGGGAAAGAGAGCGTTTACAGGAAACAGGATGGGAGGAGAACGAGCCAGGTGGTGCTGAGAGCTTTATTACCTTGCATTGGAAGAGTAAATATATTTGTCATCACTAGCAGAAATCCACCTGGCGTCACGGCGTCGTGTATCTTTCACATTCAACTTCCCCGTTTATTTTATATTAGCATTTTCTCCGCTGCCCTGAGTTTTCACTCTAGGGCCCTCACGGTCGTCACATCAGTGGCGCTCCTGCCAAACTGCTGCCCCGAGTTTGCGTTGTGGCGTTGCCATGCTAACAAGAGATGAGCTGTGTTTTCGCTGTGCCAAGAAGCTCCGAGTTCACTCCTCGGGGTCCCGAGACGACTCGGGATGCAGGCAGGCGCCACTCTGGGGACAGTTCTGAAGGTGGGAGACGCCACGGTGCCCGCTGCGGTCAGAGCACGCTGCCTCGGAGCATGGGACCCGCACGGGCTCTCCTGGGGCTCGTTTCCAGAGTCACTTTGTAAGCCCAGGCCGCCGACGCCTCTGCTGTCCTGACCACCCTCTGCAGGAGGTCCCCAGGGCCACGTCCCTTGTTTCCCCCACGGGCAAATTTCCCCACACACGTAAGATTTGTTTTGAATGTTTTCCCCTGCTAGTCGCATGCACGGATGTGGCAAAGAGATGAATGGATTGGACGGTGTTTTCCAAAGGTGGCTACAGCGACACCCCCACCCCTGTGCCGTCCACACACCCCTCCTCAGCGTGGCCTGGGCCCTCCTGGCATCCGGGGGTGCGGTCTGTCCCTGCGTGTGTCGTGCTTGTCACTCACAGAGTGCAGCAGCAGCAGGACAGCTCGGCCCCCCCCCCAGGCACTTTCTGTTTTTCAGGGCCCCCAGCTGGGGTCCCAGACGCTGGCGCGCAGAGAGCCGGCTGCCCTCTGTCCTGTGCAGACTCCTGACCAGCAGGACGTCGCGGTGGTTTTACCCCACTACCGCGTTTCCAGTCGTTTCTGTGCAGCGATAGCATCCACAAAAGTAAGGTTATAAAAATAATTACGGAATCTAGAAACTACAAGTTTTAAAGCATCGCACAGAGTCTCCAGTGACCGTCTCTGGTTATGGTCTCGAGCTGTCTTCTGTGACGAGACGACCCACGCCAGAGCTTGGCTGAACTGCGTTCCTCTGCTTGCATTTGCTGTGCAGTTCTCGGGTTCTCGAGTGTTCGGGTGAGGGGCGGACATATTTCATGGCGTGTGCGTGAGGACGGCGCGTGTGCCCTGAGCATTCGTTTCTCCACAGAAAAGCAGAGGGATGTTTTTCTCTCCCGAAAGCCAGGGAAATGTTTGCCTTTATTTCCTTCTGAATCAACAGAATTTCCAGCTTCTGCCTGACTCACTGGCAGCTTTAAGCATTTTTTTTTTCTTAATAGCCACGAGGAGTCAAAATGTTTCCTTCTGACAATTTAGTGTATGTGTTTAAATCAGGTTTCTTACGAGTAGATTGGAGCTGAACTGTACTGTGAACTGCTGCTGCTGTTCTTCCTGATGAGTTCTCTGCATTTTGTGGAAGGAATTTTCCATCTTAGCTTGTGGGGTTATTTTGTCTAAACTCAATTAGAAAGTAATTAAGAATGGAATTCTTCTCTATTTAATTCCCTATGATAATAAAATCAGGTTAAAGTTTCTTTTTAAAGTTGTTTTTAGCCTAGAAAAGATGTCCATGATATATTGCTAAGTGAACAAAGCAGCTTACAGAACAGCATGAGCCCAGGGCGCTGCAAATGCAGTATGTGTAACCTAAATGTTCGTGCCCCCATACACATTTTGAAATAAATAAAAGAACAGCAGCACAATATGCACCCATTTTGATAAAAAATACATATATTTGCTTAACTGTCCACTCATTTCTTCCTATTTGAATTTTCTATAATGAAGATTATTTTTTAACGAGGGGTAGGCAGTGAGGGAGTTACTAAACTCAGATTAGCCCGAATGTGCCCCCAAAGGCTCCTTCTGGCAAAGTAAATGTTTCTGTCAGCCTGTCTCTGGGCGATGGCCTTGTGAATTTGAGTGTCCTTCAAAGATGACATTCACTCAGACTTCTTTTCAGCCACACCATACAATAGCGATTTTTGACATTAAAACATAAAACAAACAAAAAACTTAATACCAAAAAGAAGAGATGAGAAAATACAAATATTCTCTTTATTTGCCTTACTTTTACTTACTTAATTACTTTTAGAGACAAGTCTCGCTGCGTTGCCCAGGCTGGCCTCAAACTTCTGCCTCAAGCAATCCTCCTGCCTCAGCCTCCCGAGTAGCTGGGGCTACAGGTGCACACCACCGTGCTCAGCTCAAATAACTTTTTTATTTTTAGATAATTTTTGTAGAGATGGGGGTCTTGCTTGTTGCCTTGTTGCTTGTTCTCATCTAAGACGTGAGAAAACGCAAGCCTTCATTTTAATAAAGAACCCAAGTACACACTGCTAAATTGTACAAAGCTACATGTCCTAAGTTTAGCTTATTGTCACAGTATGGTAGGAGTTGGCAGCAGCTTCTTCACCCCACCCAAAGCACCCACTCTGCTCTCCGTTTCATTCTCTCACCCGTGCAAAAGGTAGGTACACACAAGAATGTCTGATGTTTCCTGCGTCCCATAGTATTAATATAATAGGAAACTGGATATTTCAATTAAAAAGGTAGAATGAGACATTTACCATCGGACTGTAACATTCCTCTTCTCAAAGAAGATACTGTAATACTTGAAGATGTCCTTTCAAAAAAGTCATAGACCAGCTGAAAAGAGCACCCTTCCAAGCACACTAGGCCCACATCTAACTTGGATGAATTCCCACAGTCATAATCACCTAACTCAAAAACAATCTAGTCTGAAAAGCTCCAGTAACTAAAACAACAGTAACAGGCACAATGAATAGTATAAACACCATTAATGGGCACTGAGTTTAATAGAGCAGACGATATTTGCTTCTGCATTCATACTTATTCAAATATGTTTTTATTTAAAAAATGGTGCTACTCGTGCTATTAAAGTTTTACCAAAAATTAATGTGGATAAATATAGCAAATGCTAAAAATCTAGCTGGGTTATCGTGCATGTAAAAAACCAAGACAAACTCAAATTTATTATAAAGGCGACTTGCATTCCAAACGAACTCTGCCTTTGTATTCTATGAAAAGAGCAAGCATCATGAATTAACTCAGCTGCTTACTTGAATTATAAAAGTAACATGATCCAATATGAAAATAAGGAACTACAAATCCCTGGCAGTTATAAATTGCAATACACAGTGCATACAGAGCAACGCATTCCAGTACAAAACAAAAGTATTTTAATACCTTTAAAATCCAAATTTTTTAAAAAAAATCGATCACGAAAGAGATTCTCAAGTCAGAATTAACACCTCAGAGGTTGCAGCTGTGTAGGTGTGTATGTGTATGTGTGTGTATGTTCCGGAGTCATACGGACTCTTCCTTCTCTACACACACCTGCCGTCATTCCTTCCGATCATGAAGACAGCATGTGTGGAACACCAGGGGCCTGTCGATACAATGTCATGCAAACCACAGCATCGTGCTGTTGGCCATCTGAGGTCACCGCGCCAGCTGCCCACTGCCTAGTAAAGGCCTCCTCTGCAAACTGGTCACCGGGCCCATCTGTAGCTGGGCCTGCACCATCAATTCCCTTCTCCGCTTTCCTGGCCCCTCCGAATTTCTGAAGCTGTAATTTCAGAGGTTCCCCATAAGTGTCGGAGCCCGAGGTGGGCGTGGCAAAGAGAA